TTGGAATTTAATAAGAGATAGTTTTATAAAGGCCACTGCAGACTGACCCAACTCGCCAGCAGCACGGTGCCAAAGAGGGAGAGAACATCAGATAAGGGAATTGCAATATTTATAGGTTGCGGTCAGTAGGCCTGCTGCATACCTATGAAAATTAAAGGAATCCGAAACTTCAGGCAGTCGCGTCTATTTCTTCCGAATTTGCGCTTGTATCAGCAAATTCCCGTCGTATTTGATTGCGTGGGGTACCTTATATAAGTGGTACCTGGGAGCTGGAATGCCCCTTCTCTCCCTTGCCTCTCGCATACCAATGGCAAGCTCGAGTCCGCCTGACTAGAGGTGAGACTGAACGCAGTGGCTGATGTGCAGGGAAACTTGAAACTGGTCAAACGCTATCCATACTGCATGAGGACTAATTGTGGCTAATAGGCCGTACAACTCGTTAGTGTTGGAATGTGCAGGGGAGAACTCCGCCACTAATAACGGGTTCGTATCAGCGGTACTCCACTAGAAGTTGGGGAAGACTGATGTTTACATGTCATTTTCTCATAGTTTCTAGGACGGTCTCAGATAGTTGAGGATTTTACCCCATCCGAAGCTACTGTTCATTGGACTGCATTTGCTCTTTATGAGAAATTTGATGAGTAAGACGCGGGGCAAGAGGCCTTAGTTGGCCTTACGCCAACTTCCAGAGAGCTTAAGATTAAGGAGGAAGGGTGACTTGTATGGTCGCCTAAATAGGGCACGGGAACAGGAACCGCTAATGAGGCATGTTACTTTGCACCAACTTCTGGCTAAATTAGGTTCAGCATTACGGTGTGGGTTGAGGTTACGTTTAGGATTGGGGTTAAGGTTAGAGTTGGAGGTTGGATCAGGAGTATATTAAGGGTTAATGTTTGCCTTCGTATTAACTGTAGAGTTTAGGTTAGGATTAGGTTCGAGGTTAAGGTTACCGTTTAGTTTTATTTTAGGGTTATGACACGAGGATATTTTTCCTTCCTGAAATTTATCGCTAGGCCATCTATTTTAAGTGAAGGGGGCGTTCCTCTTCCCGGTTAGGATTAAAGTTTGGCTTAGGTCTAGGGCACGTGACAAGGTATCCTTCCTGTACTTGAGCGCAAGTCTTCCTATTTTACTGCGTTCCCTATCCCCAGCTCTTGCCTTCAATTTCCTGGCGAGATGTCATCAAAATATGCCGAGGCCTCATTTTCCAGCGCACTGATCTCTTCAGGATTCTGCAAAACGTACTCTTTTTCCGCATGCATCGACGGTTTCTGGCCGTGTCTACCGCTCTGCTCCCTCTCCATTCTACCTTTTTGCATTCTCACTTTTGGGTCCTTCCATTGAGTCCTAAGAACTCGCAAGGCATTTCCCCCACTTATTTAAATATTTTCTTGTTTCACTCTATAGTCAGCCGTGCATGCCCGTCATCATGTCCTCTGTGCGTCTGCCCGTCCGACACTACGAGGCCTGGACTGAGCGTGTTTATGATGTGCAGGAATTTGATGTCACTCCACAAACCCTACCGGCAATCTGTAAACCAGACTGTCCCATCAACCAGCCACATGGCGCTTGTCGGTAAGTACTCTGTGCTCCCCCGTCCAGTTG